TGACATTGTCAATGTTTCTCCCTCACTACCCTGCCCACTCCCTTCTTTTCCTTCGGACTCAGACTTTCCTCTTCTGAAAAACCCTTCCATCCTTCTTGTTTTAAGGAGTTGCCTGTCAGTCACTATGGGGAAAACAATAGCAGGATTCCAAAGGTTAACAACAGAGCGTTTATGAATCTTAGCTTAGTTCTTAAAAAAATTTCATTCCTTTGCTGAGAAATGTATAGGGAATTAGCCTTTAGGTGGCTGCTTTCTTTTCTGTCAAGGTGAATCTTTCCCTGATTCTCTTGTTACATGTATTCTTTCTCCTCTCTCGGAAGAAACTTGAGTGCTTTGAAAGTTATCCTGGGTTAACTTTATCTTAAATGGCTCATTTATATCCTTTAGACCTTGGAAATTTTTATGATCCTATTTCCACCTAAACTTGGATATTATCTCACTTTCCTATGTGAAAATTGGGGATCTTTTCCCCAGGAAATAGGTATGTGTCAGGAACATAAAGCCAATAACTTGGGAGGAGACAGTATAAGGGATTGAACTCAGAGCCTCATGCTTGCTAAAAAGCACTCTATCCCTCAAGTCACCACCCAGTCCTTTTGTTTTTAGTTTGATTTTTCAGATAGGGTCTTCTGCTTTAGATCACCATCCTTCTCCTTCTGTCTCCCAAATAGCTGGATTACAGAAGAGTACCACCATGCTTGGCTCAGGTCAATATTTTTTAAAACTGTGTCAGGGTATTAGAAAGGGTACTGATTTTGAAGAAAGCATTCATTCAAACAAAAATCCCTATTGCTAATCTACTAAAAGTGAATGACTACAGACTTGGAGCACAAAGATGATTTTAATAAAGCAAAACAATGCCAGGCATTGGTGGCTCATTCCCATAATCCTAGCTGCTTTGGAAGCTGAGATTTGAGAAATGTGGTTTGAAGCTTCCCAAGGACTCTTATCTCCAATTATCCACCAAAAAAGCCAAAAGTGGATCTTTAGTTTAAGTGTTAGAATACTAACCCTGAGCACAAAAGCTCAAGGATAGCACCCGCCTTTGGTTCCAACCCTAGGAACAGCAAAACAAAAAAGAAAAACCAAAAACAAAGCTACACAGCCAGGATTTTCATTTGTTTTCTTCTCTGTACCATGTTACATTCTTCTCTGAACCAATTGTGGAACTTTGACAAAGTGCTCACTGCACTTTCAGACTTTTCCCCCATCATTGTTTAATATTCATTTTCTCATCACCCTGTCCAATCCCCATCTAGGATTGACCAGCTGAACAGCAATAAAAGGGACACCCATTTCAAGTTGGAATTTCAAAGAATCAATGAACAAAGTAACAAAGTGACAGCATGTCCCAAATGCTCTCTGGGACACACTTACACTAAAAAAATAATAATTCAGGAAACAATCATTCTGATTTTATTTATTTAATTATTGGCAACCCTATTCTCCTCCCAACTCTTCTCCATACAATTTGTTAAGCTTCAAGTTTAGTGGCATCTTCAGATGTAAAGAAGAGTTTCTTTCTTCTAAAATCCAGGTCATGGAGGGAAATGCTAAAGGCTCCATAGGAAACCACTCCCTGCCAGGCAGCATTTATTTGTTCCTGACACTGACCCTTAGAGCTGAATGGGACATGTCAGCCATTGCTATTCTCACATAGACAGTACTGGTCACATCTGGAGAATGTTTGGTTTTTCTTCCCCCTTCCCACTGATTTGAATTTCTGATTTTTTTTTTTTGGTCTTTCAGTAAACAACTCCTACAGGTCTAAGTCTCTTTAAGTCTTTTCTTTTTGAGCGGAAACTAAATGAGGGTAAGATTGATAATTAATAGACACAAAGGACCCAGGATTTGTGGCAATGATGCATCAAAATTAATCAATGAATAACTGAAAGCTTCAGCTTTCTCCTCTAGATAGCAAAGAAGAAAGCCAAAGGAAGAACTCCTGATTTGCATGTTATATCTGTTGTTTCATCTGCTTAGAATCTGGTAACATTTAGAATGTAGAAGGTGAAACCTGGAAAAATAGATTTCAGATGATCCCCGCTCTGGCTGAGAGCTAGCTAACTAGTATAAGTACAGCCAAATCGATTGTAGTAGGAAAGAGAGGAAGGACTTTTAAAAAAAATTATGGTTTATAAGTATACTACCATGCCAACTGGTATCATTTTATTCAAATGAATGTGTATCTGAAATATACTATCACTAATATCCAAAAACAGCAATTTCTAAAGAAATTTAGTACACAGCTGCTTCAAAATGTGTTTTACCATTAGGAAAATGTCAGAGCCTGCTCTCAAAGAAGGCTGTCTCCTGGGACGCCATTTCTTCTTGCTTATAACTTGAACATGATTCACTCCTTACTAGAGCAGACTGATTTTCTCAAACACTCTAAAGAGGAAGGTAACAACAGAGAAAGCTCTAATATTTGCAGTTAGAATGGCCATCTCTGAGACAGGAAGCAGAAGCTGTATTTTTTGGAAAACTTCCTTCTGTGTCTATTAACAAATCTTTTTAGTATCCTTGGGCACATAATTCCAAAGAAACCACCATTGAGGAAAAACTGTGCATGCTTAGGATGCAGGGCTTAGTACTGTACTGCAGATGATGGATTCAGGTTTACCATAATGTCATTCAACTTTTGCTTTAAGACTTGCTGACTTTCAACAATTCTCAAATTCTCATCTTCACACTTAAATTAAGGGCTCAGTGGTAGAGTGCTTGCCTTGCATGCATTGAGGCCCTGGGTTCAATTCCTCAGCACCACATAAACAGAAAAAGCCAAAAGTAGCACTATGGCTCAAGTGGTAGAACACTAGCCTTGAGCTGAAGAGGTGAGGGACAGTGCCCAGGCCTAGAGTTTAGGCGCCATGACCGGCCAATAAAACAAAAACAAAATACTTAAATTAAGCGTGTTCACTTTTACCTTGCTTTTTGTAGGCATTATTTGTTTTTTAAGGGACAGGAAACAATAGATCATACACACATTTGAACATAAATGACAGTGACACAGGACTGACAGCCTTTTCTCATCACTGTGTAAGGTGGGTACAGGGATTTTGTTATTCAGTTTTCTTTTGATTTTATTCACTCATTTATTTAGTTTTGACCACACTTGACAAAACCCATATGTAATAACAGGTTACTGAACAACTAGTGTGGTAGTGTGTGCCTATAATCCCAGCACAGTAAACACAGAAGGTAGAGGCAGAAGGATTGTGAGTTTGAAGCCATCCTCAACTACGTAGTAAGAACTTGTCTCAACAAAAATGAAGGAAGGAAGGAAAGAAGGGAGGGAGGGAGGAAAAGAGGGAGGGAGGGAGGGAGGAAGGGAGGAAGGAAGGAAGGAAGGAAGGAAGGGAAGGAGGGAGGGAGGGAGGGAAGAAAAGAATGAAAGAACGATGAAAGAATGAAAGAGAAAAGAAAGGGAAAGGGAAAGGGAAAGGAAAGGAGAAGAGGGAGGGAGGAAGGGAGGGGGGAGGAAGGGAGAGAGGGAAGGAAGAAAAGGAAGGAAAGTGATCATTTAAAGACCAGGCATACCCATACACAGGGAAATGGGGTATGGAAGAGATGAACATCCCCAAAGGACAGAATCTAAGAGTGTAATAGTTTGTATCATATATTCTGCCACACCTCCCTTTTGAGGAAGGACTTCTTTGGGCTCAAGAGGGTAGAGAGAACTTGGAAGCAACTCATGGGCCTCTAAGTCAGCATACATATCCCTTTCAGTAGACCAAGGGGAAAGCTCTGGCTTTAGACTTGAAGTTTCAAAGGGGAAGTGTCCCTAGAAAAGAAATAATCCTGCCTTCCCATGGTCACCCTCACTTTTGCTACTCGGGACAGAATCCTACAGCCTTCAGTCTCCTCACTCTTTCTGATTGGGGCCTGTCCAAAAACGGATCCATCCTGTTTTGGTTATATCTGCTGGTCCCGATGATCTCATTGCTTTGTTAATTGAATTTTTTTTAGCTTATTTCATTCTACCTTTAATAGTTCACTTTTAACAGTGGGGAAGGGGAAGTAGCACTTCAGAGAAGACTCTGCCTCAAAGGTAGCCTAGGAGGCTTCCTTCATGAATTAACATCTTCTTGCCAGGTCTGGTAGAGAGAACTCTAAAGACCTAGGTTAAAAATACTCATTCATGTAGTTTACGAAGGGCATAGGCTAACTTGCATCTCCTGGGAGAAATTCAAATAGCCCTGTAGCCTCTGGAAATTTCCAGAAAAGACAGCCCAATGGGCTGCTCATTGACCAAAGGTCAGGTCATCAGCAATTACCATTGTCTCTGCTACACTCGTATCACTGTCTCCTCTCTCCCTTGTCATCTGGTTGTGTTTGGGAATTACTGCTTTATCTTGTTCCCCATTTTTCTCCTAAAGTGTGCACATATAGTGTATCTTCTAGTTTTTTTTTCTTGGTGTTGTTTATATGTTGGGATATAAAAACTACTAACTCTTCAGGCAAAAGGAAGATTCAAAAAGAGACATTTCAGGAATGAAATCTATTAGTTGCCTATTCATTCAACTTTGTATATATAACATCAGTACAGGATTGTGCCTCTGGCCAGTGCAAAACACAAAAGTTTGCCAACTGGGCTTCTAGCGAGGTGGCTTAGTGGTAGAAGGCTTGCCAAGCATGCACAAGGCCTTGAGTTGGATTCCCAGTGCCACAAAGAAACAAAATTACTGAAAGACTACTGGAGTCTTGAGTAACTAAGAAGGTAAAATACCAAGTTACAAGAATATAGCAGACAGAGCCTACTAGAACCACCCATGGATGTTCCCTACAGCACGTATCTGAATCTCTCCTGTTCTCTATCCATTCCTTCTCTTCCTACGTTCTCATTTAAGAGGAAAAAAATAATAATAAAGGGCTGCCAATGATGGCAAGTGTTTACTTAAGCAGCACATGTATGAGAGACCGCTGTGACTTCTAGAGTCTCCAGGTTCACAATGAAATGACTCATTGGCTACACCCAAGAGCCTATCAAGGCTGCAGCCATGGATGAAAGTAAGAGTAAAGGAAATGTGGGGCTGGGGGAGGGGCATGTTTGGAGGCGCTCACACACACAGGTGCTATGCAGATAACATAAATCCAGAAGTCAACTGCTTCAAGGTTCTTCTTTTAAAACTGGTGGGTGGGCGCCTGGAGTCAGTAGTTTATGCCTGTAATCCTAGCTACTCAGGAAGCTCAGATCTGAGGATTAAGGTTCAAAGCTAGCAAAAGTAGGAAAGTCTGTGAAGCTCTTATCTCTAGTAAACTGCTCCAAAAAAGCTGGGAGTGGTACTCACTTTGAGCAAAACAAAACTCAGGGACAGCTCCCAGGCTTAGAGTTCAAGTTCCAGGATGAGCAAAAGAATAACTAAAATAAAAATAAAATACTATCAACACACAAAATTTTAGTTAAAATACATATACAATGAGTGCTGTGGAAAACCAAGTGTAAAAAATTGAGTTTGAGACGGTCCTAGGCTATATAACAAGACCCCGTGTCAAGGAAGACAAAACAAAATATTTAAAAAAAAATGAATTCCTGAGGGGATGGGTTGGGTTGGGAGAGATGGGGAGTCTCTCTCTCTCTCTCTCTCTTTCTCTCTCTCTCTCTTTCTCTCTCTCTCTCTCTCTCTTTCTCTCTCTCTCTCTCTCTCTCAGGATACCATTTTTTAATGTGTTGCAGATCTGGCTTCTCCATTTAATACCTTGTATAGCAAAGAAGGAGCATTTAAAGCACCATAATTCTACTCCTGGCCTTTCGTATATTTTTTAATCTATCCAGGTGTGCAAAAATGCAGTTAAAAATAAGCTGAACACTCCTGCAATATTGATCTCTCATCAATCCCTGATTCCCAATAAGTACTATTTAGCTAAACCATATGATTTTATTGATCGAATATCTTTATTCTTCCAACAGAGGTTTTACTGCCACCGAATCCCAACCAGCATTCACTCATTCCTTACGTATTTATCTGTCAATGTCATTCCCTCCCCAGGTCTGTGTTCAGTGAGTTGGTGGGCTGGTGAACAGAATGGTCGGGATGCCAAATGGCTGCATACTTGGATGAGGAGATTCTCATTCTAGATACCTTCAATTCTTTGAAAACTCAATCCAAGTATTTGGGGAAGATTTTTGGACTATGTGGGCTTTTGTTCCATAAAAAGTAACAAGCTTAACACAAATTCCTACCATCAGTGACACAACACTTTTCAACACTTTTCAAACAATATATATGTGCAGAACATATCTTTTGAACATGGCTGCTATGGGTTAAAAATCATTGAGTATTCAAGAAATGTTTACTGATCTCTATTCCATATTAGACATTGTTCTAATACATAATCATACATACCTTCAGTACTCTATAGCTTATGAAACTTTCCTTGAAACAAGATTTTTATAAATGTGTGAACTCAATTGCATCTGATTATAGAGGAAACAAATTACACTATATCCTAATGAATAATGTTAATTTCTACAAGCCCTGATATTAAAAACAAAAATTAAAAACAAAAAAGTCCATTAACTGTAATGGGAAAATGGATTGTGTAGCAGCTGAGATACTCTGTTTTCAAGGGTTATGTATGAATGTGTTTATACCTCCATACACATGCAGAGGGGTGCACTTGTACCATAATCATAAAGAATTTGAGAATTATCAAGCATAGTCATCTAATGATGTTTCATTGTACTCATTTTCTTCTGATCTGTGGTGTCTATTATAGAATATCACAGAATGGGTAATTTATAATGAACAGAAGCCTAGTTGACTCCCAGTTGTAGTTGCTGAAAAGTCTAAGAACAGGGTGCCAACATCTGGCAAGGGCTTTCTTTCTGGGTGATCCTTTGACAAAAGATAGATCAAATAAGACAGGATAGAAACCAAATTCTAACCTGAGATCAATACCTATTCTTATAGTATCTACCCACTCGGATAAAGAACATCCTGAATCTTTCATGAGAGTAGTGCTCCTGGTCTTATTGCCCCTTAAGGATCTACCTCTTTGAGACTATCAGCATGGCAATTAAATTTCAACATGAGTTTAGGAGACATTCAAACCATAGTCTCTCTCCAAAGGAGGAAGCGATAACTTGAGAGAGGATAATGACATCCATCCATGGATTTATAACTGAATGACTATTGGAAGATGAGATGGTAGCAACAGAGGGAGCCAAGTTGGAGGAAGTAAGCTACTTGGGAGAGTGGTATGAAGGGTCTCTCCCTCCCTCCCTTCCTCCCTCTCTCCTTTTTTGGCTGCTAGAGTTGAGCAGCTGCTCTACATCCTCTGCCACAGCTGTATGATGAGACCAAGACACTATGTACTGAAATCTCTGAAACTATAAGCCAAAATAAACCTTTCCTCTTTTTAACCTGATACTTTTAGGTATTTTATTATAGCAACAGAAAACTGACTAACCCAGTTTATTTAGAGCAATGCTTTCCAAACCCTTAATCCTGATTAAAATACTACTTGTCTACTTTACATGGCTTATTATATTTTTTAAATCTCTTAAATATTTACTTTTACTGCTTCAACTTTTACATAATTGTATCTCTTATTTTCTCATTTTTCTTTAATGCTGAGGATTGAACTCAGGGCCTCCTGCATACTAAGCACTCATTCTATTACTGAGCTACATCTCTAGCCCACAATTTTTCTCAATGAAGTAAATCCAGAAAAGCACATAAATAGCACCTCTTAGCCAGGTCCACTTCAGTCGATGTCAAAGTTTCTACAGATCCTGATGCAATACAGGTAGCTTCTAGGTAATAAAGCTCTGCATCCATAGATCCAATCAATGTCTGAAAACAGAATGTCACCCAGGCCTGCATCTGTACTAAACAACACAGACCTTTACTTCCCATTATTATTCTCTGAGCATTTCAGCTCTAACGATTTCCATAGGATTTCTAATATTAGGTCTTATGAGTAATCTAGGATGATGTAATATATACAGAAGGATCTGTATGGGTGAGGATTTCTGTGTCTTCAAGGGCCCTGTCAGCTGTCCACTATAGATACTGGTGTATGTATATGATACTGTATATACTGGTTGGTATAACAGTTCTTGGAATCAGGAAGAAAAGCAGGGGAGGAAAGGTGTCTTTGAGTTAAAATGAATTTTAAGGGCATCAAAATGAAGGGGAATAGGCTGTCCATTGCTCATGCAACACAAATAACCTAATATGCTCTGGAAACAACTTGGCAGACCCTTTCTTTCTATGTAAGAACTGCCAGGCACAGCTTTCTGTGTGTGTCCAGAATGAGAGTGAACACTTCTTGGTTGGCTTCTGGAGTAGGCTGGTCTTACCGTTCTGCATCCCAATCCATGGCTAGGAAGAGGAGACAAAATGAACATAATGCATTAGTTTAGGAGGCGAAGGAATTGAAATTCATACTTTCTTCAGATGATTAAACAATGAATGCTTATGAAATCAAGGGGGTGGGGGGAAGTCCCCCCTCTCCGAGTTTGCTTTTCAAAGATTTCTCTGTACTTTCTGGCTAATTTAAAAAAGAGCCCCCATAGGATGCTTATTTTTATACACACATGTTGCCAGAGTAGTTCCTGTTTTGGTTTAAATGTGTGCCTTCTTTTTAGTCAGATGAAAGAGAATTTTCCTCAAAAAAGAACTTGTCTGCTGATCGTGTTTTTGTCAGATTGAGCCTAAATCAAGCTTCTGTTAAGAGCTTAACTGTTTAGTTTAATCCTCTTGGCTAAGTTATTGGGCAGATTTTTTTTGCCCTAAGTTGGACTATGTAACTAGAGTATCCTTGTTACTTACCCTCTTTCTACCCCAAAATCTCCTCCCCTGAGGATTCCAGGTGAATGAAAGCTTTGAGGAGCTTTCTCTCTCACTGGGCTTAGTCCTCGGGCAGTTACATGTCAGATGTAGGTTTTTGGAATGTCCTGGGCACCAAAAGTGAGCAAATGGTCAATATTATAGCAGGAAAAGGGCCAGGAGGGGACTTGTCTAGGTCAAACTATGAAGAAGGACATTCTGTTGAGGGCTTTAAAGATCAGCAGGAGTATGTCTGAAGAAGGGCCAGGGAAAAGAGAGGCAGGAGACTCCCAAGTTACTCTAAGTCAGCTTGAGATGCAGCTGTAACATTAAGTGTTCCTAATAGTTTTTTTTTCTTGTCCTTTTTTCTTCTTCATTTTATTTTTCCTTCTTCCCTTTTCCCTTTTTTTCTGTCTTTTTTTGTTTTCTTTACTTTTATTTTGTTTTGAATTTTCAGCCAAGGTTTATTTTAGTATAACAGCATAAAGTAGGGAAAAAAATAGAAAAATGAAGATAAATATCTTTTATTCTCCACGTTGGAAAAGGGACATTAAAACTCCCTGGAAATGAGACTCCAGTAGAAATGCAATATGAAAAATACATTTTAAAATAAATTAACAAATTAAGCATGTATTCCACATATGAATGAACCTTGAAAACATTATGTTTAGCGAAAGAGGTCAGATCCGACCATGTAGGATTTTGTATGAAATGTTCACAATAAGCAAACCAATAGAGACAGAATGTAGATAGTGTCTTCCTGGGGCTAGAGGCACACTGCAGTTCAATGAGAGATGATGGAAATGTTCCGAAACTGATCAGGGTGATGCATACCTAAGTGTGATTTTTTTTTAAAGACTCATTGAATTGCACAGGATTTCATAATATGTAAAATATATTTCAATAAAACCCTAAGTAAGGTGAGAACATCATCTTTGCAAAAGAGTCAGAATAGAACATTTTAAACACAAAGGTAGATGCACTTTTAATCATCTTACTCTCTTATCTAATAATGTTCAGGCAGCTTTGTTTCTACAGGAAAGAAACAGACAACAAAAAAAAGGATCCATTCACTGAATACTCTAATGGTATAACTTTTACTGTTATTTGAAATCTGCTCATGAAATAGTTGAATCCAACATTTTTATATATGTATATAGACAATATACATTTATATACTTATATATACACACATATATATGCATGATATATATTTTTTCATTTTTATATTTT